TTTGTCAATTTGACATTTATCTAAGTTGTTTTTATTTTTCATTTCCTCCACACCTATTTTAATGTCTATAGAATTACTAAATGATGCTTGATAATGCGTGCGCTTTATGGAATGATTCATGGGTTCAGGCCCTTACCATGCACATCTATAAATTCCGTATTTTAGTTTCAGTTTTTTATTTAATAATTTCGTTTTTTATTTAATAATTTCGTTTTCTTTATATAATAATTTCGTTTTCTTTATTTAATAATTTCCTTTCTCATTTATTGATTTTGTTTTTTTTTTTATTTAATAATTTCGTTTTCTTTATTTAATAATTTCGTTTTTTATTTTTTATTTTTTTGGTTTTGCACTATTGGGCTTCCGTAAGAAAGACTACATGAACAATATTTATTGCTCTAGCCAACAAGGCTTGTAAAAATATCATCTTTGTTTGTAAGGCTTATTATAATAAATGTGTTTTAGAAGAACTTCTTATTCTATGTCTAGAAATCCAACTTCTACTCGCAGTCCACTTTGAGTTCACGGTGGGTGTGACCGGACAACAGGGGATGCTTACTCTTGGGCACCTGTTCCCACCTCTGAAATTTCCAGGGGTCCGTGTTTTATACCCTCTTCACATATCTGTATTGTTTATTTATATTTAGATCCACGTTCGTTATCTTTACCTTTTTCATTCAGTAAAATTGAAAGATTTTAAAATGGTTGTATTGCTTGTTTTCTTTCAAATGCTAAAACAGTGATATTTTATGATATGATACTTGCTCTGCTCCTGATTTGTATTGTTTATGGACTTCTGAGCTTGAATACTGTTCGCTATTTCCATTTATTATATAGTTTATAAATAGTCCCTATATAATCTCTACAAACGCAAACATTTCATAATACTACATATTCACTGGATTTGAAGCCGTATTCACCAGAGGGTCAGTGCGCGTGCAGCAGCATTGTGACGTCACAATCAATACCTCAAATAATCTCGAAAACAATCGTTACACCTGCCGGAGCCAGTTGTACAATATGAGCAGGAAAATTGTTCGGCAAGTTTATTGCAGTATTATTTTCCAAACATTTCGATGTCTTACACAAAGGGAAACACGGATGTTATAAGTAGTAATCTGGACATTTTTTTTTATTTTTCTACGACAGAAGTTACATGTTGTTAATGAAAATGGAATCGTCATGCAGCCTTCAGTGTCTGATTCATTCAAATCCTGACTATATAATAAAACAATTATGGACTCTTTCGGTGGTGAATATGGTTTGTTATATTTTAGAAAGAATTAGTTTATATTTTTTGTTTCCTCTGTTTGTTCATATAAAAACCATCAGAAAAAAAATCCCCATAAAAGCTATTTTTTATATGAAGATGGAATTAGAGGCACAGAGGTCATCTTTAAAACTTCTATTTACAAGATCCAACCCCAGTAAGAATATTTTAACATCAATGTACATGTATTTACATGATGTAAAAAATGTAGAAGATGAAATGACGAAGAATAAGCATCTAATTATACAACAAATATTGTTATTATATAGTCTATAAATAGCCCCTATATAATCTACATATTCACTGGATTTGAAGTCGTATTCACCGGAGGGTCAGTGCGCGTGCAGCGGCATTGTGACGTCACAATCAATACCCAACGTTGAAAACAATATGGATACAACGGCCGAAGCCAGCTGTGTATCTGAGCAGGAAAAATGTTCGGAAAGTCTATCGCAGGATTATTTTCCAAACATTTCGATGTCTTAAACACCGCAAAATGAAATAACGGAAGTAATAAGTTGTAATCTGTACGTTTTTTTTTTTTAATTTTTCTACGACAGAGGTTCGTTAATGAAAAAAAGGTATAATCATGCAGCCTTTAATGTCTTATTTATTCAAACCCGGACTATATAATAAAACAATTATGGACTCTTTCGGTGATGAATATTGTTTGTTATTCACCAGAAAAAATATCAATATTGACCTCGGCTTCGCCTTCGCCTCGGTCAATATTGATATTTTTTCTGGTGAATAACAAACCATATTCACCACCGAAAGAGTCCATAATTGTATAATATTGAAGATTATAATTGAAATATAACACCACACAAATAAAAAATACAAATAGTATCAGTGACAAAAGCATCTATATATGTATTTCAAGATGATTGTGTATGTTATTAGCACACCTTTTCGATTTGCTCTCATATGTCAGATTCTCCTAAGGGTCTTCAAATAGATTCCTTTTTTCTGAAACCAAAGTAAATTTACCATCAAGTAAAATTTACAACAATCCAGAACAAACGGGGTTTTAAAATCCTCTCTTTTAAAGAAATATGTAAAAATGTATTTGGAAGAGGTTTACGTCCTTATCATAATAAAACCGAGTAATGATAATAATAAATAGTATGTGTACTTACAAAATTCTTGGCTGGCAGTCTACCTTGCGATTTCTAAGAAAATTTGACAACCTGGTTAAATGAAAGCACACTCTACTTAGTGAACTAAATTAATCAACCAGTAAAGACTGACATACACATTAGCATATACAGTCAGTTAAAAAATAATACCATTTGTGGAGCAGATGTTTATATTTTTGTCTTGTCAGTAGATAACTGATAGATGTAACAATATGATGTTCAGGCAAGTTTAAACGAAAATTGTACCTTTAATCATTAAAACAACTTTCTGTTCATTTTAATGTCAACTTTACACCTCCACTTCAGGTTTCACAGTGGATTTCATATATCTTCTAAAATTAGGAAATTCAAATTTAGAAACCAACAAATATTATCTTATTTTCAGATTTGAGGTTCTTAAAGTAAAGGCATGAATTTAGAAACCTCATTTCCATTTCCTGTGGGTCTCTAATTAATTGTTCCGCCTCTTAAAGTGAGACCCCTCAACAATGGAAAAAGTGATAATAACGGTGAGACAAGAAACCGACCGTAGTGATAAACTAAGCATATTCAACTCAATGAATTATGCACTATTGACGAATTTATATAGTGTGTGTTGCACGCATGTAGAAAATTAATTATCAAGTAAGATTTGGAAAACACTCTAGGTTCTATTTTTGCCTAAGAATCTCTTAGACAGTGGATCAATATGACCATCGTAACTGCAGGGAATGTTGAATTTACTTTTGTTTATGTCTTTTAGAAGACCTTTTCAGCAGTAAATTTCAAGATTTAGAGTCATCAATCTTCATTTTGTAAAGAGGCCCTTTGAGATGAATTCAAAAATAGACATGTGTGACCCCTTTTGCTCAGCCTTATTGATTTAATGATCAAGTATATGCGTCTTTTAAAAATAGATGATTTTTCAGAAAAGAAGGTATCAAGTGCAAATTGTCTTCGTATGCTTTGTGGAGATTGAAACATTGCTTCATTCCAATGTCATCAAACATAAACTGCACTACTTATTTTTGATTGAAAGAAACAGGCAGAAAAAAAAATAATGTGCACAATTTCATTGTAACACAATTTTCATTCCAATAAATAATTTTTATTTTACGATAATGGCTGTCGGTCAAATACATCTTAGCAATTTTTTTTTTTGTCTAAAGGCCAAAGAACAGTCAAAATTGTTAACATTTTATTTAGACAAAGAAAAATATGAAAGGAAAAATAAATAAAGAAATGATTACATTAAAAAATGAGCTGATTTCTAAAGATTGATATGATGAATAACTAGTCAGAAACCCGCCATTTTGACATCAGGACACAATTATCACAAATATACTGGTGTAATAATTTGATTTAAAATTGAATTTTGCAAACACGGAAGTATATCTATATTAACAATGTGTAACGGGGGGGGGGGGAGGATCCGGCTCTCTACTTGAAGGAAAGATCACTTTGCATTAGGGATAGCAATCGAATACAGAATTGGTAATTCCTTAACTGCAAAACTTTTCGACCGATGTACATGTTAATCGTGTTGGAATAAACATTTTCCTGGCCTTTTTTTTCATTTTAAAGTAACTTCTATTCATATATAAGAAAACAAAACAACGGGGGAAAAAAGTAGTTTTAAATTGATTAGTGCACATTTCATATTTCATTTCAATTGCAAAAGGCGAAATAAAATTAAAAAAAAAAAAGAAAGAAAGAAAACCATGAAACATCACATATATCAAACTTTAAGACACTGAGTTTTCCAGACATGATTTTACACAAGTTGCCCAATTTCCCATGTGATGATCTTAAACATAATAATTAATATCATATACTTGTACCTCTGACCTGAATTTATATGCTGTAAATATTTTTCATTGTCCTTATGTACCATATATTTACATGGTTTTGAGTGAATAAATGAACTTGAACTTAATCCTGACAATCTTAATTAATTACCTCCCAAAATGTAACGTAAAATAAACTTTTTATTAAAATAAGTATCATGTGTTATAAAGTGTTATAAATACTGCAAACACCTCTGGTAATAGACTGATATTAATATTACATTTTGCTTTATAGCCATGATAATCCAAGCATTAGGTCCATCACTATACCTTGTTTCATTTTCCGCGAAACACAACACCCTATGCAATGTTTGTCTGATATCACGCAAAGTCCAGTGGACTGCATAAAGTGAAAAAGAAAAAAACATTTTTAATCGATGTTAAACATTGATAATATGTGTTGTCAAATATTCTGCGATTTCCATAATTTCCGTGGGGATCTATTTCATTGATATGTTAATTTGTGAACAATAACCTTGTCTTTTCTTCAATACATATGTTATTTTAAAAAAAACTGTAGTTTGTTGATCACCAACTTTGGTTACATGTTGCTGTTCGACAAAAATGATTAGTCCACAGTAGTAAAATTTAAAAAATGAAAACGCCTTTCCTTCTTAATTTTGGTCTGGTTTGAAACTAAGTACAAATGGACAGAAAATAGTCGTTTTTTTTTTCATTTAATTGCTCTTTCTTTAGTTAAAAGAAATATTATCCTGTGCATTTAGCATCTTTGCTTCCTTCAAATAAACAAGATACATCGGAAAATATCTAGATACAGTTTATTAAAAAAAAAAAAAAAAGAAGACAAACTTCAGAAACGAAATAATTTTTTTTGGAGTGGAATAAAATTCAAATGATATGGAAGAAAATTATTCTAAGAAAGTCAAACAATCTTTCTTGCATTATCAAACTAAACAGAATTCTAATGGATTGAGTGGCTTTTCTCAAACCCTCTTCATTATCTTAGCAATGACATGCGTTAAAGAATATAGAAATAGCAAACTCAATTTTTTTTTTTACAGAGTGATTGACATGAAGAAGACATATAAAAACAATGAATAAAATGAATTAAGATGACGCGTCGATGATCTACCCTTTCTACATTAACATTTAATTCTTATAATAACCTGTTGTATCGAAGGGAACAGGACGAATGAGACCTCTTCTAGGTCCATTAAAGACCTATTTACTTATAGGAAGAGCAATACATTCTCATACTTGACATTGTAACAATTTCAATTTTCTGTAATTATTTGATATTCATACAAAATCAACAATTTTATTTTATTTTTGTTACATTTAAAAACATTCTTGATACATGTCAAAAGTAAAAGCTAAAAAGTTAAAGCAGTACACAGGATGTTGTATTTTCGTACAAATGGCAAGATAGATGCATAGTACATATCAAAATTAATGTCTTAAAATTTTTTCATTATAGATACAATATTCAAATCTTTTTCGGAACAAATATGCAAGCATGTAATTTATTAATCCTCACATAATAAATCAATGTGGTACCCGGAAAAAAAGTCACACATTTCTGGGTATTGAAATACAAGTACAGTATTGCTTGTACAATATTACATATAACAAACATTTTTTTTCCAAATGTGCAATCTCTACAAGAAGGGCTACAAAACATTATTATATCTTATGAGCATTACGTAGGCTGTGACGTCACAGCTTGACTACCGGAAACAGCTTCTTCATAAGATGGTGGCTGCGTTATAACTGCTGGCTGAGTAATATCTCTAGATGAGATTATTGCAGGTGCGCCATTTGTCACCGGAAGTCCCCCACCGTTAACAGTGTAAACTTCAGGACCTTGACGTCTCCGATCTTTATAGCAGCAGTCACATGACTCAGAAGCGAAGCAGAGCCACCAATGAGTGGCGCAGTAGTGCCCTCCGTCAGTGTGGTCAGAATCCGCGCAACAGTCTAGAAGACATGAAGAAGAGGTGTTACATTAAAATTTTACCTTAAATTTTAAAACTCTTCTTAGCATTAATTGGACATAATGGTTTATATTAAAGAGTCGATAGTCAATTGGTCCAAAACTTTGCTAAATTTTTGATAGAGAAAACAAAATGAAAAAGTATATTTTTCTTCGTATCATAAGATTAAATGTTTCTGAAAATTGCAAAGATTCTAAAGGGAAACAGAAGAAATTCAATATAAATTCGATAGAAATACGGCTTAGCGATCTGGCAAACAGGACAGACGCGAGAGCATTGGTAAAGCACTGTCTATAGAAACTCCATGAAACAAGTTTCAGGAAACAAAAATTACTGCCAATCACGTTTCATATAAACTGTCGAATCAACGATATATGCGTGTATCCTAGCTCTTTCGATAAAGATATCATGTAATACTTTTTCGCCAGCATGCTAGTGTAATGCAGATATTTCGTAATACGCGTCAAAATCAATTACGGTATTCTTCAAGGAAATTTTTTAGCGAAATTTGAAAGTACATATTTCTTGTTATTATGTTTTCATTCATGTTTTGGAATGATGGTGACTTTCTAGTCGCACTGGGATGTCAAACAGCAACCTACGCTGTACATATTGTACAGATCACAGGGTTTGTCTACAATAAGTATGGTAACTTGTTTGTTTGTTTGCATCACACCGCTTTGAAAATTTTACTTGGACCCTATATCGATTGTCAATGAATGGACCGGTATTCCACACTTTAGGCCAATGAGGAGTCGTTATTTTTTTCCCTCCCAGCAACTTGTCACATACTACATTATGATTATACGGTCTCCTCCGGCATCTTGAATTGTACAATCTTAATATGCACTTCATCTTATTTTATTTTGGGTCCCCGTAATATAAATTATTTGTCTTCATTGCATGACACTCTTAATTATTAGCAAAAGCATCCATTATATCGTTAAAATGTCCAAATTATGGACCACATTATCTGAAATACTTGACGTACATTTTAACCTAGCTATTAGAAATTGTATTTCTGTACAGTGTGTTAACCTTCTATACTCACCACAGGAACAACAGTGTGTGTTAACCTTCTATACTCACCATAGCAACAACAGTCTGTGTTAACCTTCTATACTCACCACAGGAACAACAGTCTGTGTTAACCTTCTATACCTACCACAGGAACAACAGTCTGTGTTAACCTTCTATACTCACCACAGGAACAACAGTGTGTGTTAACCTTCTATACTCATCACAGGAACAACAGTCTGTGTTAACCTTCTATACCTACCACAGGAACAACAGTGTGTGTTAACCTTCTATACCTACCACAGGAACAACAGTGTGTGTTAACCTTCTATACTCACCACAGGAACAACAGTGTGTGTTAACCTTCTATACCTACCACAGGAACAACAGTGTGTGTTAACCTTCTTTACTCACCACAGGAACTACAGTGTGTGTTAACCTTCTATACTCACCACAGGAACAACAGTGTGTGTTAACCTTCTATACCTACCACAGGAACAACAGTGTGTGTTAACCTTCTTTACTCACCACAGGAACTACAGTGTGTGTTAACCTTCTATACCTACCACAGGAACAACAGTGTGATAGCATTCTATACTCACCACAGGAACAACAGTGTGTGTTAACCTTCTATACTCACCACAGGAACAACAGTGTATGTTAACCTTCTATACTCACCACAGGAACAACAGTGTGTGTTAACCTTCTATACTCACCACAGGAACAACAGTGTGTGTTAACCTTCTATACTCACCACAGGAACAACAGTGTATGTTAACCTTCTATACTCACCACAGGAACAACAGTGTGTGTTAACCTTCTATACTCACCACAGGAACAACAGTGTGTGTTACTATTCTATACTCACCACAGGAACAACAGTGTGTGTTAACATTCTATACTCACCACAGGAACAACAGTGTGTGCAACCAAATAAACACGGACAACAGTGACCGGAATGATCTGAAAGTAGACAGACATACTGTTTTTTTTTATATTCACTAAAAAAGATCTTCATTACGATTTGTCAGTGTTGACGCGTTTCAAGACTGTACTAAAATACCAATACTCAAAAAGTTCAGGAATTTTAACCGATTCTTTTCCCTTATCAGCCTCATTTATTAACCGTTCTGAAACCCCTATCTATGAAGCATAAATTACAATATATGTATAATGATTAAACAGCGGACAATGTCCTCCCCTTGAAAGCCGCAAAAAATAAATAAATTCATAAATAATTAAAAAATTCAAGCACATGTTATTAGTGAAGTTTTAATTTTTTTTTTACCTTTTTAATCTTTCACGATGCATATTATCATATATACTGATTTAAGCAAAGTGAGCTGCATTTTTTTTCAGATTTATTATTATTTTTTTTTTTTTGGGGGGGGGGGGGGGCTGTTGAAATGTGATTTTATGATACATCTGTATGTAACTTTAATCTTTATGGTCAATTAATCTAAAATAAAGTATCAAATTGTTTCAGAAGAAAAAATTCTTTACATAGGAATCTATAGTATTATATAAGAAATCAATATTGTACAGGACGACAATAATGTTATTTTGCTTCAATCAAGCTTAAAATTAGTTCTTCCTTCTTATATATAAAAAATAATAGTGTGTAAAGTTTCTTTTTTCTGTCATTGAAATAGTTAATTACAAAACTGCAACAAAAATCCCCGACTTCAAAGTTCATATTGCTTTAATTAAAACTACGATGCTGTGCTTGAATCGGGTTACTTTTCAGTCTCCTAGCGGTGAAATCGGAATGGATACGAATTCAAAGTAATCTGTGTCTGTCTGTCTTACTTGGTTTTCCATGGGCTTTTTTCAACACACTTGTAGAATCTTATCCCAATTTTGGTTTTTAGTTTATAGTTTTGGATCAAGTTTCTCCTTCGTTCTAGTATTTTTGATTTTCGACGGAATCACCGACTTACGGATATAAAACCTTCATTTTTATAGTTGATCTAGACTACATATGTCAAAAGGGGACTAGCAATCCTTTGGGAATACTTTAATTTGAAAATGCTTCACTATATTTACATTATTTTGAGTATTGCTGTGTAATACTTAAATAGTTTCTTTATCATTATTTGTTGGGCTTTTGAATGATTTAGTTTTGAATCAACCGATTAAAAAAGTAATTTGTAAATTCATATTATTTGTAAATGTATGTATCTATTGCATAATATGCATAAATTCAATTCATGATTTGTGTGTAAAAAATGTTGTTTTAGTTAATTTTTCTATCGTGTGGTTTGTACGACGTACAAACCACACGTATACTTTATTATTTGTTTAATAGGCTTCCTGTTTATCAAAATATGCCGCTTTGATTTAATTTGCATCAACATATAACATACACCATTGTTTGATAGCTTCTTACTAATGTTTATAATAAAGCGGAATTGATTTTAAAAGTTATGTTCGTCTTCAACCATTCATGTCATATTGGTTAAAGGACATTTTTTTTTTGTTTCTAAAGAGAATTTCCCTATTTATTTTCTGTAGCTAAGTGTTTCTGAAGACGATCTAAAACACTGAACTTAACGAAAACATTCCTTCCTATTGTAACCCTTGAAGATTTTATTGTTTGTATTCTTTTTACATGCTACATGTACCATGTTCCTTATCACTCTCAAAACAACAAATCATAAAATAGCCTATTATTTCTTATATTTTTTTATGTTCATCTACTACAATGATTTTTTTTCTCACTCACAGATATATCTAATTGTAATGGATGTCATTTAATACCATTATTACTGTGTAATACGTACTTCCATGGACGTCGTGTAATTTGCTGCGCACTGTGAAAATTCTGACAATACCAATATAAAGATTCTGGTAGTATAGCTATCACTGCCTAAACCCTGAATTGAATGCTGATAATGAGGGAGAATAGTTACCATTATCACCACAACAATGACAATCACCATTGTCCCCACAGATGCCACAGCAGTCGCCACATTCACAGTCACCACAATCACAATTGCTGCAATCGCCGCAGTCACCACAATCCCCGCAATCACAGCTTCCACAATCGCAGCTGCCGCAGTCTATATCCCCCATTAGTATCCTCTTATCATATGTCTACCAGTCAGGTACCTATTTAAAAACATCTTTAAGTTTTCCTTTCATCTTTAAACATGTTAAATGAGCAAGTACTTGTAGGTCTACATCTCTGTTAATCATCACAAAGTTAATGATTTTCAGCATGTGTAAACAACTGCATGGACATGCCTAAGCTTACATAAGGCCCGTTTATTATTTTTTTTTATTTTGACCCTGGTTTGCAATACAAGAAATATACATGAAATTTGATTCAGTGTTATCCTTAAATTGTATATGCATTCATTCTTAATCAGATACGTGTACTGAATAAGGAAACTAATTTCATATTGTTACATGTAATATGCTAAATTTGGACGATGAAATACAGCGCATTGTATTTTTTTATCTGTACAAAATATTTCCTTAGAAGAAGTGGGTAAAGACATTTATTTCTAACATCAATTACAACCAAACCAAACGTCACAACCCTATTTCCTTATTGATAAAAACAAAAACAAAAAAACTAGAGCCAAGCTCGTTGCAGAGCAAGGAATAGGTCTTCCGTTGGAGCAGTGACCTTGAGTCATGCCATATTCTAAGATGACAAATAATCTTGTAAGGGACTATATCAACTTGCAATGCTTCGCCACAGTAGAAAGACAATAAAATAATGTACACTTTCTATCTCGTGACCTTGAACTTGTCCAGATGACCTTGTGTCAAGCTATGACACACTCTGGTTATGACGCAAATCTATCCGTGTTACCGACTTTACAAGTTCACACATGTTCTTTCAGACCACACATCCAGTAAAAGCATCTTGTTCTTTGACTTGAACTTGAGTCTAGGCCATGACACATTCTTCTGAGTGTTTCCGACTTGACAAGTTTACACATCTTTTTTTTTTTCATTTCGTTTCCATATAGTTGTAATTTATTATGTTTAACACGCTGGCTTCAAATTTTATTGTGAATATGTTTTATGTCCAATTTCGATACTGAAAAATGTCGGCCTCTTTGAGTACGTGTACAAGGTGCATTACGTTACCCTATCTCATCATGTTTTATAACGCAGACCATACATGTATACATAGTCAGTGTTATAAAAAGGTAAAAAAAAAAACCAAACCATTTTATTCATTAAAAATCTCTGCTTAATTATCTTTGCCGATTTCTTACAGAACTAGAGTGTTCCAAGGAACGCATGTGTAGCCTGTTTTTAGCTTCATTAAAGATGTAACTAAGTCTAAAAGTGATCAACTATTTTTTTGCTACGGCATGGAATATAGTTCATGTAAAAAAAAATCCAGGGATAGTAAGACTGCGATAGAATCTAACAATCAAAAGATTTTTCACTTATATGAAACGCCACCACTTGCTGGTGGAGGCTGCAAATTCAAACCTATACTCGACACTCAAGGCCACTGAGCAGTGGGGGATTTTTTTTATGCCGGCACCTACTGCTACACGGGACCTCGGTTTGTACGGCCTCATCCGAAGGACCAGTCTCCACGTCCCTTAGTGGAATTGTTTGTTTGTTTGTTTGTGTGTTGTTTAACGTCCCTCTTTAGATTTTTCACTCATATGGAAACGCAACCACTTGCCGGTGGAGGACAGCAAATTCAGACCTATACTCGACACTCAAGGCCATTGAGCAGTGAGGGATCCTTTTTGTGCCAGCATCTTCTGCTATAAGGGATCTCGGTTTATACAGTCTCATGCAAAGGACCGGTCTCCACGTCCCGCAGAGGGAACACTCCGCGACGTAAAGATTAATTCCTTACTCCGCGACTCTAGAGCAAACGTTCAAACCACTGCGCCACGCGGGCGAAGTGGTGGTATTTCAAACCGTGACTCCGATTCGTAGGGGTAGAAACATTTTGATAAAGGTACTATCATTATGAAAATCATGTTCTGACTCAAACCTGTAGAAAGCAATTTCATTTTTTTTTTATATATAAGCAATAAATAAATAAAAAAAATAATAAAAACATAATTGCAGGGAGGAGGGGGGGGGGGGGGCACGACTGTATAGCTTTAAGCTACATAGTGACTAAGAAGGAATAACTTGTCATTTGTCAAAGTCCTTTACCTAAACTTTTCACTTTTAATTGTCAATAACAGATGATCAGTACGTACTGGTCCCTGCTGACAAAGCAGGTAACAACATTGTCTTTGTTTGTAAGGCTCGTTATATTAAATGTATTTTAGAGGAACTTGGATTTAATTCTACAAGTGGTAATCCAACTTATACTCATAGTTCCCTTTCTAAGGAAGAAATTCTTCAAAATCATATGTCAGTTTTGAATATTTTTAATATTGCAAACAACCAAAATGAATTCGAATTACCATATTTATATTGGATTCCGAAACTTCATAAAAATCCTTACAAACAAAGATACATAGCGGGTTCCAGTAAATGTTCAACCAAGCCTCTATCTTTACTCCTCACTAAGATATTAACAGTGGTGAAGGAGAAATTTCAAGAGTACTGTGCAACAATATATTCGAGAAGTGGTGTAAATCAGATGTGGATATTTTCCGAGGAAATTTTGGAAAATTTGAAATCACAAGATTTTACCAAAATCAACAGCTTAAAAACTTACGACTTTTCAACTTTATACACAACCATTCCCCACGATAAATTAAAGTCCAGGCTTTTTGATATCATTGACAGCTGCTTTTTCAATAAAAATGGAACTCGTAAATATACTTACCTTGTCATTGGTCATTTGCAAAATTATTTTGTTAAAAAACATTCTGATTGTACACACAAGTACTCTGAAGTTGACATTAAAAAGATGCCTGAGTTTCTGATTGACAATATCTATGTGGTTTTTGGAGACCAGGTCTTCCAACAATCTATTGGAATTCCTATGGGTACCAATTGCGTCCCGTTATTAGCAGACCTTTTTTTGTATTCATATGAAGCAGAATTTTTTCAAAATCTTGTACGTGAAAAGAGGAAAACACTTGCTGTGGCGTTCAACTCGACATTTAGATATATCGACGACGTATTGTCAATTAACAATGGCTATTTTCATTCTTATGTCGATACGATATATCTTGGTGAACTTGAGATAAAAGATACCACAGAGTCTGACACATCTGTTTCATATTTGGATATTTTACTTGAAAAAGACGTTAATGGTAATCTAACAACCAAGCTCTATGATAAACGTGATGACTTTAACTTTTCAATCGTCAACTTCCCTTACTTATGCAGCTATATACCTTCATCACCTGCATACGGGGTATATATCTCTCAGTTGATTCGATACGCAAGAGCATGCTCTAGGTATGTACAATTTCTAAAACGAGGTAAATTATTGACAAATACATGTAAGTTGATGAAACAAGAATATCAACTGTCTCGTTTAAAGTCATCATTTCGTAAGTTCTATGGTCGATACAATGACCTTGTCAGCAAATACAATTTATCATTGTGTCAAATGCTGACTGACGTTTTCATATTGGTTGTTAGGCCATTATTTACACACTGAATTGTCGACGGATTTTTCCGTTATTTCCCGATCATGACAAGGAGCACACGGCGGGTGTGACCGGTCGGCAGGGGATGCTCACTCCTCCATGGCACCTGATCCCACCTCTGATGTTTGGAGGTCCGTGTTTGCTCTGCTCCTATTTTGTATTGTATAATGGACTTTTGAGCTTGAATACTGTTCGATATCTCCATATATTTCATTCTTGTTACAAAGTGAAAAGTATACATTTAAATGTAGTGCAGGTATCCATCTCATATGCATAATCTATTTAATCAATCATTTTATCCTAAAGGGAAAGTGAAATCTCAGTCAAAACTTGTCACAAATACTGGACTCTCTGATTAATTATAACATACATGTAAGAACGGATCAATTAGGACTGCAGGTTTGCTAAATTCACAGCATGCATCTTCAGCCTTAATTAAAACGTTGTTTCGAAATATTACACTGTATCTATAAAAGAGTAAAATTAGAATTGACCTTAAGAATATTTTACACCACAGGGGAAATGCTTCCGTGGCACCAGAAGTTTATAATTTTGATTGACAGGTGTAGCGCCGTGCATGGATTTCATGTAACTATGTACAAATAAGAAATGAAGGGATCTAAAGAAAAGAGTTATTGTGATTGACATTGTAATTAAAACAGAGACAATTAAAAGTAGTTTGGCTGTGCTGGCCTTCTGACATTTGAAGTAAAGTTTTAGAATAACTCATCATTGAAATGAAGTTGTAAAAGTGTATTATAAATTATTTTCATTTTCATCATTAGATGTGTGTTAATAAGTTTGTTATATTCAAGTTCATTTAAATGTACTCCTCGAACATTTTTTTCTTTTGAACCGCTCGTGCAGGTGGAATTAAATTATAAAAAGTTAACATACTTCTTAAATGCATGGCTTTTACGTTATACAGTTCTGGACATTAGAAATAATTAAGCTTATAGCGTTGCGGATATTTTATCGTAGCTAAAAAATATGTATAACATAAAACATGTATTTTAAAAAATTCAGATATTTATACATACAAATCAAATTACATATAGTATGAAATAATGTATTGAAAAATTACGATCTCTTCTCTGTAAACATGTATGTTATGAAGAGGACATTGAAGGCGAAAAGGGGCTCGAATAGCCGCCAGTTTTTTCTCTTCGGAAAGCTGTACAGTTATCTTGGACGACATATCGCGAACAAGTACAGTGTACAAAACAGCAGTGAATATAAGAATAATGAACTCAAAGTTTAATTCTCTTCTCTCAATTATTTTTAGAAATATAATTACCAACCAATATATAAGTTTTTTTTTTTACCATGGTGTATACAAGGCGACTTTTCAAGGGGTACATGAAAGCGTTTGACGCGTGACCAGGTACATGTAATTGCTTTCAAAGCATGCAATCTCAGACTATCAGGTAGCACAGGTAGCTGGCCTGTCAATCAAATCAGCAGCTATTGTTTTATTTTTGTATGATTGACGGGCGGTTTATTATAGATCTTTAGCTAGGTAGATTTTGATGGCGTTAATGGAAAATTGGGTGTTTAATAAAAGCACATGTACTTGTCATATGCTGGAGTTACAAAACTATAGTCGACTGAGTTTTTCACATAGCATGTTCAGGTGCAATCATAATGATTTTAAAAAGAAAATATTTGTAAGAGTGTTTAGCAATGCGTCTATTGTTTTCAAATATATCTGTTTTTGAATTCTTTGTCTACAAACCTTGTGCGTTAAGTTAGAATTATCTGCAGAATTAACCACACGCAATGGATCTCCGAAATTAAACACACAATAACAAATAACTGAGAAAAAAAATCGTTTATTAAATAAATGTATGCAGTATAAAGATTAGGATTCATGAAATCGGAGACCTTTATACGTCCTTAATAAAATGTTTTGGATTTAAATTGAATCAAGTTAAGATTAAATGATTTAATTGAATGATCCGATATGATTTAAAAAATAATTTTCCGTAAATCATTGTGTTAGCAAAATGAATAGAATGACAATGATTTGTGTATGAGCACTAATAGCTGCTTCCTCGGCCATATGCTATCGAGGGAAAGGTTACATAATTGTAAACAAACACAAAACCCGGGATGTATGTGAAATGCAGTTAAAGACTGATTTAATTTTTGCTAACTGTTTTTAAAATTTAATATAGTGTATGTTTCAACATTAAACGACAAAAAGATATTTTGTTTACGAACGCAGGTCGGTGGTTCACACGCAATGGATCTTTTGTGATTTCGGCCAGAATTGTTTAATAAGTATAACACCAACATGACTAACATATATAAGATGAAATAATTTGAAAGATCCGATATGATTAAAAAACACAATTATCCGTACATCGTTCAGTTTGCAAAATAGATTTAGTACGACAATGTCTGTTTAGTGTATGGCCACGGATCACTGGATCTAGGTCACGCGTGATCGGGGGATGGCCGGTTACGTAATTATAAACAAAACCAAACCCTGAGACATATTGAAAATGTGACTCAATTATTTGGAATGAAACCACAGAACACGTGTAAAAACTTGTTTTAAAGTAATATTAGTATTTATCCTGGATAGGTTTATCATTTATAGCAAGTTTATTTCGGTTATGCGCATTAAGATTTCACTTTCACTAGTCTAATGAAACTAGTTACCTGTATATGAGTCAAGCTTCTAGCTCATTTATTAAAAAAGACTCGAACAAAATAACAAGTCCATGAGATTAATTATATGTTAAAGAACAACTTTTTAGCGACAGCTTTATTCAAAATATTTACCGTTTTTGAGTAATAAAACGAAAACTTTAAAGGACCCTAGATCCCTCATTTAAGAGACCAGCCCCTTTCTGGTGGTGCCAAATGAAAGACCTTAAAATTGTGCACAACTTTTATTCTACATGTCTTAACAAAATATTTTTAGTTTAAAAGATATGTAGGAAAATATGTGTAATTTTTCGCGCTTTTAGGCGTTCTAATTTTTTACCCCTATCTAGCGCCATATTGAACGCAGAAATCAAAAAACAAAAATAGATGTGCACGACTTCAATGCTTCTATTATTAAAATTCAGTAGTATTTCTGCTCCAGCTTTTTTAGTCTCGAAGCCTTTGTCTGGAAACGACCCCCCTAAATTTTCATTTAAAGGGAAATAATTCCAAAGCGGAAGGGACTTTTTAAATGTATGGCAGCATTCTGATAGAATTTGGTAACGTCTATAAATTCTGAAAATTTGAGCAAAATCCGTTGAGAAATGAGCGAGATATGAGGTCTCAAAGTTGGCGTCTAGAAAGGAGAAGAAAAAAAAACAATAATCTTAACCATCAGAATCAGTAGAAGGTCTTCCGTTGTGACGAAAGACCTTTAAAAAAAACCAACCCCACAAAGTGTAAGTTATACGAGGCGCCAGCGTGAACGGATCAATGAGTTAGATGTCTCGCCTCATGTACCACACTGACCTAATTAAATGCCGATACAGCCATGTCAATATCAGTCATTTAACTCTTTGTAAGTCAAAGTCCTTACCTGTAGGGATCTGTATTAAAGTTTCCTCGATTCAAGCCTTCTAAACAGTTTAAGATAAAAAAAAAAAATCCAGCAACGTAATAAAACAGGATAATATTATCATCCACACAAACAGAGGAATTCCGAATAACAGCTGTTTACTGTCAGAAAAGAGCCTTGACATGTGAATTCACGAACGTAAAATTCTACTTTCGATTTATAAGTAATGCATTGCTTTTTGTAAGCCGGGGATTTTAAATTTCATGAAAAAAGCTGGGATAAAACCACAAGCACTTGTTTCTGTAATAAATGTTTACCCTTGTTTAACTATTATAATATGGGGTAAAAAAATATTACAGAAACAAGTCCCTGTGGATAAAACAACCGAAAAAAACTCGTTATAACCCCCAAAAAATAAAATAAAATAAAAATTGACCAATGTGATATGTTCATACATGTAATAACACTCGATACATACCAGTAATTATACTTAACCTGAAGGAAATCCATTGTAAGATATTAATTTCACATCATAATAGTTACAGCTAATATGCTCAGAAAAACACTGTTCAGTGTAACAGTTGTTTTTAATATTTGTCATCGTAAGTAATTGGGAACAGAATTAGAATAAAGCAAAATTAAGGAACTATTCGGAAGAAGTAACAGAACAAATACATCTAAAAGTATTATCATTGTAAACAGATTCAAAAGGACGAAGTATTACTCATAAAAGACAAAATATCACAGCGTCAAAGGAGAAATGAGACATCGACATTCATACACAGCAATAAATGATAACCTTTTTAACCTACTTTACACTTGTTTACATTTGAAGGTGGATTTCTGTTAAATTCCTCTAGATTTCTCCTACATATATATGTATTTGTTTGTTAAACCGAATAAGAAAAACAGACACATTGCGTTATGAATATTTATACCGAAACAGGTCACGTTTACTTAATTAATCTTCATCTGGACAGGTAAACATTGAAAGGTGTAAAGACTGTTTACATTCTGTTTGAGTAGATAGTAAATGATTATTTAGGTAATAATATAATGCTATGTTTGTCGTCAATTACTCAGTGTAACACTTTGTTGTAAAATATTTGGTTTTATAAGGTCAATGCGTATATATATGAATCTTAAAATATTACAATAAAGCTATTAAGACAATGCTGGTTATCAAAAAGATAGATAATGCTATATAGAAAGCAAAACAATAGAGAAATACGCGGAAAATAGTCAAACTAATAGATATGACCAATTGATAAAAAGCAAGATTTTATGTCAGTGACCTACCTTCTCCCTCTATCCGTTACTTTGTTTATCGATTAAATCCTTCAATGAGCTGAAGTACTTGTTTTTCATACACAAAAGTATCAGTTCCGGGACACACACTTCAACTGCTCCTATAAAATATCTACATCAAATGACGACGTTAGTATACAATTTATGCATATTTTTAATCTTTGACTACGTCATATATTTTAAAGATTAATGGGTGTGACCGGTCTACAGAGGATACATACTCTTCCATGGCACCTAATCCCACTTCTGGAATTTTCCAGGGGTCCGTGTTATGCCCTGTTATCGTTTTTTTTTCTTTTGTATTTTTTTCTATCTTTTTGATATCGATCACTGTTCGTTAGCTTCAGTATTGTTTTCAAACAATTGCCTCTTATCAAGCAATCATATTGAATTTGTAAACAGAACGTGTCTCGATCGGGTATTTTTGATACAAATTAACGGAACACTGCGTTTGTGGGCATGGTCATACTTGGTCAAGTCTGTGCTATGTAAATACTAAAGACCTGAAGGAACATAATTATTCTCAAAAAAAGCTGCATTCCTCTACTTTCAAAACTTGATTTACATTTTCCTATTACAGATTTACTTTGGTCAATGCGTTTTTAAAGTGGATTGTTTATGTTTTACGCCAATACCAGTTTGACCACTGCATTTAACCCAGCAATTTTTCAATTCTTTCATTACACTCTGTTTCTAAAAAGTGTCCTGATTTTTAGGTATTAAGTTTTATTTTGAAATATCACTTTTGTTTTTTACAACAACGAAGAAAATTGTAGAAAACGCACATTACTGAAAATCATAATTTCGGAGTTTTTTTTTCGCAATTAAGTCAGAGTTAAGCATTCATTAAGACAATAAATATTTACATTTCATAATTGTTTTGCATACAATTAAATTTTACGGAGTCTCACAATTAAAATGGTAACTGATTTTTTGAAATCCGTTAATTCTAAGCGAAATTAATAATTTTTTCAGCAACATGTAAAAAAAAAAAAGAAGGCTTACTGGTCAGATTTGACCGGTACGAATGTGAAAAGGTTAAAGTTCATTATTATGCACGATAAAATAAATAAGTGATGAATTGTAAAACTAGTAACATCTCTGAATTGATTTTACACCCTTAAATCGATGTGCCGTGAACATTCATTCCGTCATTCTGTCCTTGTAGCCTTATAGAAAGTACGCTGATTTTTGTCTATGTATCTTTATATTGGTGACATAGAGACGAAGATACTGTGCTGATTCTTTTTTCTTCTTGGTATCTTTACTTACATGTAATATCAATGATTTACACATTAAAACCAGTTTCGTGTTTATTGACTAATTTTTTGGTTTGAAAATTGTTGTTCTAAAACTTTGAAAATTGTAATTTACTATTTTTCGGACGTTTTTCTTTATATTTTCTGCATGTTGTTAATCAGTATTCACAGACAGCTAATAATAATCTTGAATCAACAACTGATTTGGTTAAACTAGACCAGCAATGTGATATACTTTTCCCATTTTATTTTCACCTATTGACATTTTGAAATTTGGACTTGCAAAGATTTATTTACGTAAATAATATATGTTGTTCATTGTTAGGATTCTTATGAATTTTCTTATTTATCTTCTAAATTTAAAAATCATCGTGGACACTTGGCAAAATAAAAAAAAAAAAGCAGAATGTTTCCAAGAACGTAAAGATAGAATATTTCTTTTTTTATATAAACTTTAAACCCCATTCATATTTTGAAATATTTTAAAAGATACACGTCCACTTACTTACTTTTTATCTATTTTTAAAAATTGCAATTATTGACAGAATAATGGGCCCATAAACAAGAATGGAGAATTAAAATTCCACTGAGAGACTGTAGGGCATGGTATTTGGCAATCAATATTTCTAAAATTAGGCAAGAAACCTAATGAAAGAACTGTTTCAAGGTTAAAAGAAACATACTAACTTAGTAATATACAAAATGTGAGAAAAAAAATTAATGACATTTTTTTTCAGCCAAAGGTCCTTCAGTCTCTCCACATTTATGTCCATCAAGAAGATCGCTAAAACGTCTGCTCTACATACTAGATACTGTCAACGAGGAACTCCATCATCTTTTCAATATCAACTTTAAAATAATGTATGCTGAATCAGAATGATTTTAGCAAATTCATCTTTAGATAACTGATAACAAAGTATGAAAATTAAAGAGTTCAGTTTTTGATGGGGAAGGGGAAACTTTCGTTTTTCATATGTTCCTTTTAGAGTCGTTCTATTGGAGTTTTGCGATGAAAGCAGATTCGGACAGTGGATGTCGGACTAGGAGAATTTCAGGGAAAATGTCAAAACACTAATGTAGCATAAATTGACTATTAACTTATCATATCATAAGAACAATTTTTACATTTTCTATTTTTCAAAAGGCTAAAACATAAGGACTTATATAAAGGGTAAAATATATTACCAGAAAACTGCATTGTAAACGAATGGATATCATGACACCATCAGATAAAAAAAATATGCTGTATCATACTTTATTGAAATCAAATAATACACTTTTCTAATAAGAGATTCGGTAGAAGAATTTTAACTGCTTTCACTCAATGCTTTCAATAGTTTTTGAACTTTAAGTTATGAATTTATGGTATTTGAAGAGTTTTGGAACTTTCTCTCAATCTTTTGTAATTCCTCTCTTTAAAAATGAAAAAAAAGTAAAATTATAAAATACATTCATTTTAGTTCAATCTTAATCAATTTTGATAAAGAAAAATTAAAATTCAGTGAAGAACTACCTTATCAAACTGTTGCTTATCTTTACAAGCGGCACTGATGTCAATTTCGAAAACTTTGAGAAAAGTCGATCCTTTAGCTGTTTTCGGTTTGAAGACCTATGCATTTCCTGGGCGTCTAATGGGAGTTAATGGGAATTTTCCTTTATAAAATCTATGATTCTGTTCCGTGAGCAAGGGTGCAGATGATATGATCTCGGCAACATCAGTTTCTCGGCATCCGTAAACTTTATGTTTTTCTTTTTCCTTTACCATATTGTTTTTAGTGTTCATCTATAAGGAAGAATAAAAAGCACGCATTAAGTCCTAAATTTAGGGAACCCAGATCCTTCATCTGGCGTAAGAATTTCATAAATATCATGGATTCTGTAGAGGACTACGCCAGGCGATGGGCCAGACATGAAAAAGAAGACCTTGACACTTTGTCAGAATGGATTAAATGTATCAGATGTATGCTAAAATCGCGCATTAAAAAATTGAGGGGCAATATGAAAACCATCTATCCTTCTGTATTCAATAATCCAGAAGTGAAAAAAGAATTAGATAGATTACATGATCAGTACGTACTGGTCCCTGCTGACAAAGCAGGTAACAACATTGTCTTTGTTGTAAGGCTCATTATATTAAATGTATTTTAGAGGAACTTGGATTTAATTCTACAAGTGGTAATCCAACTTATACTCATAGTTCCCTTTCTAAGGAAGAAATTCTTCAAAATCATATGTCAGTTTTGAATATTTTTAATATTGCAAACAACCAAAATGAATTCGAATTACCATATTTATATTGGATTTCGAAACTTCATTAAAATTTACAGACAAAGATACATAGCGGGTTTCAGTAAATGTTCAAACAAGCCTCTATCTTTACTCTTCACTAAGATATTAACAGTGGTGAAGGAGAAACTTCAAGAGTACTGTGCAACAATATATTCGAGAAGTGGTGTAAATCAGATGTGGATACTTAAAAATTCCAAGGAACTTTTAGAAAATTTGAAATCACAAGATTTTACCAAAATCAACAGCTTAAAAACTTACGACTTTTCAA